AGGAAAAAGATAAGCAGAACACGTGACTGGGTGAGGAAGGAAAAAGAAAGAAAGAAAAAGGAAATTTTTTTTTTTTTACCGACCTTATCCAAATTTTCTCTTTTAAGTCCTTGAACTTTGAAAATTTCTATTATTAAGGCGAACAATATTATTCTCTCACAATTAAGTCCATAACTCGCACTTAAATGTCTTAGAAAATTTGGAGGTATTACATCCACCCCTCCTAAAAAGGAGTTTAGTCCCCTAAACTCATACCTCAATCTTGGAAGAGGTGTAGAAGGTTCTCTCCTTCAAATCTGAGATGCAGATCGGGTGCTCATCATAAGTGAGATCCTCATAGAGTTGAATGGGTTCGGGATTAATGTTGTGGTTTGGGTCGGAAATATGTATATCTGAAGTAAAGACACATGAAACACATCATGAACACCCGCTAAATTTCCAAGCAGCTCAAATCTATAAGCTACCTTGCCAATTCTTTTTGGGATAGGATATGGTCCAATATACCTCGGACTCAATTTTCCCTAGATGCCAAACCTAATGACACCTCAAGTGGGTGACACCTTCAAAAACACATGGTCACCAATTTCAAACTCCAATCGGTAAGCTACCTCTCTATCCGGAGGTAACTCTGGAAGATCCTCTAGAAATACATTTGGAGATTCACATACCACAAGTATGTCTTCTGGTCTCGATTCACACTACTAGCATCAGTGACGGAACTAGGAAACCTTGGCAACTATTTATAAGGTATTTGTGAGCCTGCAAGGTAGATATTAGCATGGGTGAAGCGAAAGAACCACTGCCTTGGAAACTAAATTCTGGCTCATCGAGAATGTTGAAAACTACCCATTTACGATGGTAGTCTATGGAGGCAAAATATTTGACAACCAATTCATCCCTAGAATGATGTCAAAATTTGAGGTATTTAAAACAAATAAGCCAGCACTCAATTATCTACCATCAATATAATGTCTACCGTCCTATGCACATCTCTAGTAGTCATCACCCCTTCTAAAGGGGTGTTCACATGCACTTCAAAATCAAAATTATCAACAGGTAAAGCTCGTTTCAAAGCATACAATCAAGCAATAAAAAGTGTGATGCACTTGAATCAAATAAAACATGTGCATAATCAGAATTAATAGGCAAGTACCCGTGATTACGTCAGTAGCTGCAGCTTCCTTGTGAGTCATCACGTGAACTCTCGCCTGTTGGGCTCTTGTCCTAACCCCGACATTCTGTTTTTGCACCTCCTAATTCGTAGAACCTTGCTGAGACACAGTTTGAGTACTCTGAGCTCTAGGGTCCGGCTGCGGGCAATTTGCAACCCGATGTCCCTGCTTGCCACATCTAAAGCAAGCCCTAGTAAAAATGCGACATTGGTCGCAAGTGTGGCCCACTTTTCCATAAGTGTGGCAAATAGGTGGAGCAGGTTGAGTACGTTGGGCTACTGATGCTTGACCCACAGTCTTGGCAACCCTTAGCTCTTTAGAAGCCTCACCAGTATCAGACTTAGGCGGTGCAGAGATAGAGGGTCTACGACTCTCATCAAATTTTCTCTTCTTAAAAAATGACCCAACTTTTTGCGGATCTTGTGTCTTGACTCTAGCCATAGCCTTCTCCTGATCTATGGCTCTGTCTGTTGCCTCTCTATAGGTAGCAGGTTTGAATTGCTTCACTGCCAGGTAATTGTCAGGATTTAAACCCCATAAAAATCTATCGGCTTTAGATTGCTCATCCCCGACTTGACTATCAACAAAAGGCAGATAGTGGTCAAACTCCTTCTTGTACCACTCAACAGTACGTGACCATTGTTTTAGATCTGCAAATTCGCTTTTGCTGTCAAGTATATATTCTTGCATGAACACCCTTTTAAACCCATCCCAGGTGCTTAATTCAAGCTCTTCTTGGTGTAGCTTCAAACAAGTCTCCCACCAAGTTAATGCGTCACCCGTAAGCATATAGCTGCCCACATTAACCTTAAGGTCATCAGAAACCTTCAATAGGCGAAATCCCCTTTACACCTCGGTAAACCATGACCCTACCTGCTCAAAACCCGCTATACCATCAAATCTCCTAGTCAGCACCTTCTGGAATTCAATATAAATCTTCCAGCTAGGCACAGCAGGAGCAGAAGAGATAGGAACAAAAGAAATCGGAGCAGGGGCCGCAGGAGTGGAAATCACTAGGGATGAAGGTGGCACACTTGTGGCAGGAGATGCTTGGCGTCTCATCTCCGCCATAAATTCCTAAAAGAAAGTGGCCATATGAAGGTTTCTCGTCCTTCCCTCCTAAGGAACAGCTTGAGCAGGGGGACTAGCAGTTGGTATCAGAGGAGTGCCCGAGTCCTTACGACCACCCCTCGGGCGCCCATGCCGTTTTGGAGCCATCTATAACCACATAGAAGGTTTATAGATCATTAATCAAGTGCCTCAATTGAGAACTGACCCGACAAGTTCGCACTTCCTGGACCAAATAACATAATAATTAATAATTCCAACACACATAAAAAGAATCAAATAAGTGCTCTTAATCAACCCCACTCTCATGCCTCACCACGTTCCTATAATCCCTTGGCTAGTGAAGTTCTAAACAAATCCTAGGTATTTAATTTAAACCTAGGCTTTGATACCACAAAATCTTTCATGCCCCAGAACCCAAATCCGAGGGCGTAACAAACGCCGTGCACTCATGAACAGGTCCCACAAATGCACAAGACTCAAAACCTACTGAGTTCTTAATTTCCAATTTGGATAATTTAAATCTAGAAACTCAGGTAAAATCTAACTTTTCATTACAAAAAATTTACTAGTCAAGATCTACAACAATTTATAAAATAGTTATGGCTATAACCAAGGAAACTTTGTACACAAAAATGGTTATTTAGGTCAACCATGTAAGACTAGCAGCCTAACTCCAAAAGATCTAAGTCCAAAATAATGCCTAGCCGTCTACCTTCTCACTCCCTCGACTCCCCATGTGTCGGGTATCACTACTTGAAATGGTGGACAAGGAAAAACTAGGTGAGATAAAATATCTCAGTAAGTAAAAATATGGATAACTCATGAATAAAATTTTAGCATGCCTAATAAACAATTTAACATAACAAAACGTTCCATGATAAACCGTTAATGCAGAAGAAAATTTAGTAGTAGTAATCTCATCTATAAGTCATGGCCAGTGTTTAACAAACTCCCACTAGCAGGCGTCAGTATTAACCAGTGTTTAACAAACTCCCACTGGCAGGCGTCAGTAATTACCAATGTATTCGCCCATTAGTAAGCGTCAGTAATTACCAATGTATTCGCCCATTGGCAGGCATCAGTAATTACCAATGTATTATCCAATTAGCAGGATTACAGAATGAACTGGTCATATTAGTAAACATGTCGACATATGCTAGCGTTTGCAAACTCCCACTAGCGGGCGTCAGTAATCATGACTATATCAGAGACAAAACCATGCAGTATTTACAGGAAAAATTTGTAATTCTCAAATCAATCTCAAATTTCAGAATAAATCAGAAAAATTCCATGTGAGCATGGATTTAACAGAAAAATCGAAATTTACAAAATTCTTAGATCATCAAGGCAGAAGTAGGCATGCTCCACTCAATGAAAATGAAAATAATTCTATTTCAAACCAATCATGCTCGGTGCTAATAAAATCAATTTAAAACTTGCCACCATCTCAAAAACAATTTAAAACATGCTTTGAAATCGAACGGCGTTACCATAATTTACTTACCTCGAATCACGTAATACTAGAAACTCAAGCCAAGTGCTCGGGTGACAGAACACTCAAGAACCTAATTAAAATTCCCCAGAATTAATACCGTACTACCACAAATTCAAAGTGAAAACATCATTAGGATCACCCCCTAATCAAGATGCTATTTATATTAACCTCCACATGACTGGACACCTTTAATTTCATTCTTATTTTAAAAACTAATTATTTAATCCTATTCCATGATTGCCGACCATTAATCCCAATAGGCAAATTTTATTTCTTTATTCTTCTTCTATTCAAAATTTGAGCACACAACATCAAATTGTATATTTATATATATGTATATCCATAATTACACATATACAACATGTAATATCCCCAAATTTTCTAAGATATTTAAGGGTGAGGTATGGACTTAATTGTGAGAGAATAATGTTGTTGGCCTTAATAATAGAAATTTTCAAAGTGTAGGGACTTAAAGAGAAAATTTGGATAAGGTCGGCAAAAATTTCCTTTTTCTTTCTTTCTTTTTTCTTCCTCATCCAGTCGTGTGTCCTGCTCTTCCTCTTCCCCCGACCCACTGCAACCCGACGAGCCCCAGCTACCGCCACCCATTTACGGCCGAGAACACCGGTAAAACTTGGGGATTTCCCCTTCTTTCTTGTTCTAGAACACCTATTCAACCCAGAATTTTTCCAGGTCTGCTCTCTTCCCTCTGTAGTGAGTTCCCTGTTGCTGGGTGCGAATTTCTGAGCTTTTCCGGTAAGCAACAACCATGGAATTCATCTTTTCTCTATTAATTTGGCTTAGATTACTCTAATTTTGTTGTGGATTCTTGAATTTGGTAGTTGCCGTGAGTCCTCCATTTCTGTTCCCTGTCGGCTTCCTTCCCAGGCGGACCCGGTGCTGCTCGCCGAAATTTTCTGGTATGATGGACAGCTTCATTTAAGTCCAAATTTCATCTAATTGGTGGTTGCTTTGCTGAATTTGGTCCTTGTGTGGTTGCCCTGTGATTGTCCGAATGCTGCCAAGGAAAAAAATGGAAGATTTCGGCAGCTTTAATTGTGTTTTTAGTTAATTCATGTAGGAATTAGTTTAATTAGGCTGCTGTGATGTTTTGGAGAGAAAAATCCCGTGTGTGTGAGTTGTAGTTTGCCAAACCATGCTCTCCATGTGCTGCCTGTGAGTATATGGGAAAATTTGATGTGTATTATGCAAATATATAAATGCACAATTGATTTTGTGCTTGATTTTGGATAGAAAAATTTATGGGGGCTAATTGCTGGCTAAATTGGGAAAGGATTAAATATGTCGTTTTATATGGGTATTAATTTTGGAAATATTTTGATTAGGTACTTGATTAACTTGCACCCTAGCACTTGGGATTAGTGTTCTGGTTGGTGTGATTTGAGGTAAGTAAATTTATGGTAAAGCCTTTTGATTTTAAAGCATATTTTAAATTGTTTTTGAGATGGTGGCAAGGTTTAAATTGATTTTAAATTGATTTTATCAGCATCTGAGTGATTAAACTGAAATGAAAATTTGGATGATTTTTAATGAGAATTTCCTTGTTTTTCTAGAATTGAGCATGATTGGAATGAAAATGAGAATTTTATTGTTTTTCTGAAGTAGAGCATGCCCCTTGGAACTTACTAAACTGCTCTGATGATTTAAGAATTTTTCGTAAATTATGATTTTCTGTTAAATCCATGCCCACATGGGATTTTCTGGTTACTTTTGAAATTTGAGACTTGACAAGGAATTATGGATTTTCTAGAAATTCTTCATGGTATGATTACTGATGCCCGCTAGTGGGGGTTTGTAAACGCCAGCACATGTCGACATGTATTTCTGTAGAACCAGTTCACCTTGCCAATGGGGTTAAACATTGGTTATTACTGACGCCTGCCAGTGGGAGTTTGTTAAACACTGATACCATTACTAACGCCTGCCAGTGGGAGTTTGTTAAACACTGGCCATGACTTATAGATGAGACTACTGATGAGTTTTATTATGCATGAATGGTTTATCATTGAAAGTTTTGTTATGCTTACATGGTTTATCTAGCATGCTTAAATTTTTATCAAGGGCTGTCCATATTTTTACTTACTGAGATATTTTATCTCACCTTGTTTTCTTTGTCCACCATTTCAAGTAGTGATACCCGACACATAGGGAGCCGAGGGAGTGATGAGCTAGACGGCTAGGCATTATTTTGGATTTAGATTTTTGGGAGTTAGGCCGCTAGTCTCACATGGTTGACTCAAATAACCATTTTTGTGTACAGAGTTTCCTTGGTTATAGCCATGACCGTTTATAAACTTTTGTATATCTAGAATAGTAAATTTTTGGTAATGGAAAGTTAGATTTTACTTGAGTTTTAGATTTGAATTATCCAATTCAGAAATTAAGAACTCAGTAAGTTTCGAGTCTTGTGCATTTGTGGGACCCTTTCATAAGTGCACGGCGTATGCCACGTTCTTGGATTTGGGTTCTGGGGCATAACAGATTTAGTGGTATCAGAGCCTAAGTTTAAATTAAATACCTATAATTTGTTTAGAATTTGGCTAGCCAAGGGATCATAGGAACGTGGTGAGGCATGAGAGTGGGGTTGATTAAGAGCACTTATTTGATTCTTTTTATGTGTGTTGGAATTATTAATTATTATGTTATTTGGTCCCGGAAGTGGGAACTTTTCAAGTTATTCTCAGTTGGGGCACTTGATTAATGATCTATAAACCTTCTGTGTGATTATAGATGGCTCCGAAACGACGTGGGCGCCCGAGGGGTGGCCGTAAAGACTCGGGCACTCCTCCGATCCCAGCTGCCAATCCCCTTGCCCAAGCTGCTCCTTAGGAGGGAGGGACAAGCAACCCTCAAATGGCCACTTTCTTTCAGGAATTTATGGTGGAGATGAGACGCCAAGCGTCTCCTGCCACAAGTATGCCACCTCCGTCCCCAGTGATTCCCACCTCGGCGGCCCTTGCTCATATTTCTCCTGTTCCTATCTCTTCTACTCCTGTTGTGCCTAGTTGGAAGATTTATACCAAATTCCAGAAGGTGGTGACTAGGAGATTTGATGGTACAGCGGGTTTTGAGCAAGTAGGGTCATGGTTTACCAAGGTGGAAAAGGGATTTCGCCTATTAAAGGTTTCTGATGACCTTAAGGTTGATGTGGGCAGCTATATGCTTACAGGTGATGCATTAACTTGGTAGGAGACTTATTTGAAGCTACACCAAGGAGAGCCTAAATTAAGCACCTGGGATGGGTTTAAAAGGGTGTTCATGCAAGAGTTTATACCTGACAGCAAAAGGCGGGAACTGCAAAGAGAATTTGCAGATCTAAAACAAGGGTCACGTACTGTTGAGCAGTACAAGAAGGAGTTTGACCGCTATCTGCCTTTTGTGGGTGGTCAAGTCGGGGATGAGCAATCCAAAGCTGATAGATTTTTGTGGGGCTTGAATCCTGACATTTATTTGGCAGTGAATCACTTCAAACTTGCCACTTATAGAGAGGCAGCGGACAGAGCCATAGATCAGGAGAAGGCTATGGCTAGGGTCAAGACACAAGATCCACAAAAAGTTGGGTCATCCTTTAAGAAGAGAAAATTTGATGAGAGTCGTAGACCCTCAATCTCTGCACCGCCTAAGTCTGATACCGATGAGGCTTCTAAAGAGCTAAGGGTTGCTAAGACCGTGGGTCAAGCATCAGTAGCCCAACGTACTCAACCTGCCCCACCTATTTGCCACACTTGTGGAAGAGTGGGCCACACTCGCGACCAATGTCACGTTTTTACTGGGGCTTGCTACAGATGTGGCAAGCAAGGGCATCGAGTTGCAAATTGCCCACAGCCAGACCCTAAAGCTCAGAGTACTCAAACTGCATCTCCGCAAGGTTCTACGAATCAGAAGGTGTAGAAACAGAATGTCGGGGTTAGGACAAGAGCCCAGCAGGCGAGAGTTCACGTGATGACTTACCAGGAAGCTGCGGCTACCGACGTAATCACGGGTACTTGCCTGCTAATTCTGATTATGCACATCTTTTATTTGATTTAGGTGCATCACACTTTTTATTGCTTGATCGTATGCTTTGAAACGAGCTTTACCTGTTGATAATTCTTATTTTGAACTGCATGTGAACACCCCTTTAAAAGGGTGATGACTATTAGAGATGTGCGTAGGACGGTAGATATTATATTGATGGTAAATAATTGAGTGCTAGCTTGTCTATTTTAGATACCTCAAATTTTGACATCATTCTGGGAAAAATTGAGTCCGAGGTATATTGGACCATATCCTATCCCAGAAAGAATTGGCGAGGTAGCTTATAGATTTAAGCTGACTGGAAATTTAGCCTGTGTCCATGATGTGTTCCATGTGTCTTTACTTCGAAAACATGTTCCCGACCCAAGCCACAACATGGATCCCAAACCATTCAACTCCAGAAGGATCTCACTTATGATGAGCACCCGATCTGCATCTTCGATTTGAAGGAGAGAACCCTCCGCACCTCTTTCAAGATTGAGGTATGAGTTTAGGGGACTAAACTCCTTTTTAGGAGGGGTGGATGTAATATCCCCAAATTTTCTAAGATATTTAAGGGTGAGTTATGGACTTAATTGTGACAGAATGATGTTGTTGGCCTTAATAATAGAAAGGTTTAAGTACCATTTTGGTCCCTCAACTTTTCATTTTGGTACAAAAATTGTCCCTCAGCTTTAAAAAGTACCAAAATTATCCTTAAACTTTCATTTTTGGTACTAAAATGGTCATTCCGTCAGTTAAGTGGATAGGTGGCACGTTAAAATGCCACAAAATCACTGCATTTTTTAAATTTTAATGATGTGTAAATCCAACGAACAAAATTTGCTACCGTGGCATGTTTTTTCCACGTCAAATTGCTCTCCCTTTTCAGATTCAATTTTTGTGGGGCCCACATGAAAAATTGTTTTCCTTTTTTAGTTTCAGTTGAGTTCTTGAAGGCCAAATGAAAACAAGCACGAACTCAATATGGACTTCCAAATTTTGGAAGATACAGATGAAATTCAATGAAAAATGAAAGAAAAAGCAAATGAAAAACTCAAACTCATTTTAAGTTTTCACATAGTGCAAAATGAAACAACTTTTCTACGGAAAGAAAAAAAAAAGGGGGATTAGAAATATTTTCTTAGCAACCAAACAAAGCAAGAAGCCAAAGAAACAGAGCAAGAAAAACAGAGCGAAACCTAGAACCTAGGTTCTTCGAGGAACCCAAGAACCCAGAACTGGGTTCTTCATGAAACCCAGATCTAGGTTCCTCACGAAACCCAAGAACCCAAAACTAAGTTCCTTAAGGAACTGGGTTCCTCAAGGAACTGGGTTCCTCAAGAAACCTAGCACTGGGTTAGGTTCTGCCACCCAACACCGGGTTAGGTTCCTTGAAGAACCAAGATGAACAGGTGAAGACCAGATCTGGGCGATGGCCACCAGATCTGGGAATCCAGTGTGCAGCTCTGTAGATTTGCGTGAGGGAGCAAGGAGCCGCGAGACCTGCAAGCAAGCGGGCAACACACAGAAACAGGAAACAAAGAAAACAAACAGAAAACAAAAACCCAAAAAAGGCACCCGAAGGGCCTAGTCGTCGAGAGACCTCATGGGGTCATCGGAGCAGGGAACAGGCCGGCTCCATCGGGCTTGAGCAGCCAGAGAACCCGGCGGCTCAAGCAGCAAAACTCGGAAGCCCAAGGCTTCCGAGCACAAAAACAACAGGATGCCGGAGAAGACGATCAGAAGCTGGAGAACCCAGATCTGGAGAGGAAGAAGAAGAGGGGAATAGAGGAGATAGAGAAAGAATAAGAAAAGTTAAAAAAAGTCATGTGGGCCCCATTAAAAGGGAAAGTTTAAAAGGTGATAATATGATGTGTAAAAAACTATGCCACGTGTAAAAAAAAAAAATGCCATGGTAACAAAATTTTCATAGTTGGATTTACACGTCATTAAGATTCAAAAATTTTAATGATTTTGTGGCATTTTAATGAGCCACCTATCATTTAACTGACGGAAGGACCATTTTGGTACCGAAAATTAAAGTCTAAGGATAATTTTGATACTTTTTAAAGCTGAGGGACAATTTTGATACCAAAGTGAAAAGTTGAGGGACCAAAATGGTACTTAACCTAATAGAAATTTTCAAAGTGTAGGGACTTGAAAGAGAAAATTTGGATAAGGTCGGCAAAAATTTCCTTTTTCTTTCTTTTTTCTTCCTCATCCAGTTGTGTGTCCTGCTCATCCTCTTCCCCTAAACCTCTGCAACCTGACGAGCCGCAGCTACCGCCACCCATTTCCAGCCGGGAACACCGGTAAAACTTGGGGATTTCCCCTTCTTTCTTGTTCTAGAACACCTATTCAACCCAGAATTTTTCCAGGTCTGCTCTTTTCCCTCTGCCGTGAGTTCCTTATTGCTAGGTGTGAATTTCTGGGCTTTTCCGGTAAGCAACAACCATGGAATTCATCTTTTCTCTCTTAATTTGGCTTGGGTTACTCTAATTTTGTTGTGGGTTCTTGTAAGGACAGGTCCGAGGTGCCAAGACTCGGACTGCTACAGTAATCCCTTTGTGACCGAAGTGAGGAATGAATCCAAAGCTTCCCGCTCAAATAGCTGTATGATAACAACAATAAGCATGCCCGCACCTGATTCCTCATGATGAGTGGCACAACAGATATGGTGGACGCTCGTGCACCTGAATACCTCTCAAATTCCCGGTCCCGGAATAATCGTTTGGATAGACACGTCAGGCTCCGATTATCTTGCTTGGCATGCCACGTGGGTTCCTCATTGGATCCTATAAATACCCCCCCGGGCCACGTCAAAAAGGTAATTGAAACCAACCCTAAGCTCTTTTTATCTCTACCTTAAAGGTAGCCCCGATTATTGCTGACTTAAGTATCGGAGTGTCTACCCCGAGTTCCACCTCGGGGCTTTGCAGGTTACTTCGGAATACAAGCGCGGACTGAAGAAGGACTTCGGGTTTGGTGCAATTACATTGGCGCCGTCTGTGGGAATCGAACCCACGACCACGTTGCTCTTCCATCATGGTTCACACTCGATCAGTCCGAGCTGGCAATTCATCTTTGCCTCATGGGCAAGGTCAACCACACAACAACCTTCCACCTCTGATCCCACCTCAAACCCTACCTCAGCTTCCACCTCAGGTCCCAACCATATTCCCTCCTGCTGATCATGCAGAAGGAGGAGATGAAAACCAACCTCATGCCTCAGCTCACAATTCTACTTCCACTGCCAACCAAGACGTGGTGACAGCTCAGCTTGCTGCCATGCAGCAGCAGTTTGGTGTTTTTCAGTTAGTACTAGCTCAACTTCTAGCTAGAAATAATCCTGGTGATCCCCTCATTAATTTACTAAACCCCGCCCAACAACCCCCAGTTCCACAACAAAACCCCCAACCGGTTCAACCTACTCCCGCTGTTAGTGAATCCCAAGGTCAATCCCACATAGCACCTGCTCAGCAACCCATCCCAGATGATGTCACCCGACGCCTCGATAGCTTGGAAAAGCTAGTAGCTGAACACCGAGGTGCTCCACCCCCACACCATGCTGCTGATTCTATACCTCACCCTCTGAATACCAACATCACACTGGAACCCTATCCTACTGGCTTCAAAATACCACAACTGGAGACTTATGATGGGACGAAGGATCCCGATGATCACCTGCATGCTTTCTACTCTTGCATGCAAGCTCAGAACGCCTCTGACGCGCTGATGTGCAAAATCTTCCCCTCTACTCTACGAGGTAATGCTCGAACTTGGTATTACAGTCTACCCCTGAGGTCAATTAGCTTTTACACAGAGATGGCATCTGCATTTGCCACTAAGTTTTCCAGTAGAAGGTTGATTAGGAAAACTACCACTGAATTGATGCGAGTTAAACAGAGGGACGGAGAGTCTCTAAAGAACTACATGAGCAGGTTCAATGATGCGGTGTTGGAGGTTAGTTCCTTCGACCAAGCTGTGGGTATTGCAGCTGTAATTTCTGGTCTCAAGCATGACAGGTTCAGAGACAGTTTGATCAAACATGCTGCCACCACCTTCAGCGAGGTGAATGATA